GAAATGCTGGCGAGTGCCAATTTAACCAGAGTTTGACTGAATATCATAATAGGAGAAATATGAAACCCTGAAGTATTACTGCAATTAAAACCTCCATGTGTAATTAAGAAGACTCAGTGATGGATCAACTCAGTGATGTCCATCTTCAGAGGAATAATTGATGCCTTTAAGGAATACAGTCTCATAGTCACAGTTAGCAGGAATTGCCAGATTCATTTTAACACCGTAAGCTCTTCAGATGGCCAAGCTTTATAACTTACAAATCTACCTGGTGTCTTGATGCTTTTATATTGTTATGTTTGAAAAACAGAATGAAAAGGAGAAACTCAGAAATTAAAAAAAGAAAATATGATTTGTATTATTTGCCTCCAGGGAATGTAATCTACCATGATTTAAAGCAGAATTAAATGATAATTATCTTTTGGCACTAATATTAATATGTGCAATAAAACAAAAATCATCAGACTCTGAATGAGGCAGAGCAGCGTTTCCGCTGAGGGGCCCATAAAACCGCAGGGCGCCCGGCACGCCAGGCTCTCCCCAGACACGAAGCAGGGCTGTCTTCGCAGTCTGGGGAGGAAAGGAGACTCTCTCCTGGTAGGAGGAGGGTTCTGACAGTTGACAGAAACAGGGTCCTCTATGTTTCCTCCAGCTCGTGTGCAAAATCTTAAAAGGCACTAAATGAGAGGTCAGCAAAGCCAGAGGATTACAGAGGGAGGCCTGGGGCAGGCCTGTGTCCCGCGGAAGTCTGCAAAGCCTCAGCCTGGGCTCCAAGGGAAGATCAGGCTCCCGCAGGCCCTGGAGGGAAGGACACAGGCCACTCCCGTACCAGCTTCAGATCCGAGGTTAATAACGTAAGACTGAGGTGTCCAGCGCCCGGGTGCGAAGCTGGCCCTGGTGGAGCCCCGAAGGCAGTGCTGCAGCCTCAGGAGGGACACAGGGGCCCTGGGGTCCAGCAGGGGCCAGCAGGTGATGAACTGCTCGGCCAGTGGCCCTGCAGAGCCACCTTAGGACAGTGTGGGCTAAGGCTGAGGTGCTGACCTGGGAGGGCAAGAAGAGCCCTCAATCGCCCCTGGTTTTAGGAGCTGCTGGCGGTGAGGGCGACCCCCCACACCACAGCACTGTGCAGCACAGGGATCCCCAAGAAGGAAGCACCCTCACAGAGGACAGTGGGAAACGTGACGTGGGCCTCCCCTGAGGAGACTTGGGCTGCCCCCCTCCCCTCAGCCCAAGCAGAGGGGCCCCAGGGCACTGCAACCCACATGATCCATTCTGACCCAAGGGCAGTGGCCCCAGGGGTGACCCAGCCCAAATGCCACTTGGTTCCCTCCTGGCCAGCATCAGACCCTCAGCAATGCCTCAGTGTCCGCATGGGGCAGGGGCAAGTGGAGGATCTGACTGGAAAATCGGTGCCCAGCAATAGGCAGCCGAGGGTCTACCCCACCCTGCAGAGCCCGGTCCCCCAGCCGGACCCTGACCCCACTGACTGATGGGTTCTGCTTCACGCGACCCCTAGACTGGTGTGGTGCGGACGACGGCGCCACGCCGGCCACACGGGCACAGAACATCCTGAGGCTTTGGGCCCTGGAGGGCACATGCCCAGCTCTTGATGTGCAGAAGAACGCAGCCCTGGGCCCTCGGGTCCCTCTCCACCAAGAGGGCCTCTGCCTCCCAGCCCTGCTGGGCTCTGCCACCTGTTCTGGGCTGAGCTCCTATTTCCGCCCCTCTGTACTCTCTTCAGCAGGTAACGGGCCCCGAGCAGAATCCCAATTCATCAATACAAATCAACACACGTTTTTTTGGCATAAACTTTAGAATCTTATCTGCATTATCAGACACCTCGAGTGAAAAAGAACATGGTCATCTTGTTCTTAGTACTTTGTAAAAGACGAAGGCCCCTGAAACAAGGTGAGGACAACGGTCTGGCCTCCTGTTGGGGAGAGGCATGCCCCATGGACCCCAGGATGAACACGCTCTGAGGACGGTTGCTCAGGTCACACCCCACTGCAGGTTCCTCTCCAGGCTGCAGGAAGCCAGCCTCATGCCAGCCACACTCCCCCTCCCGCCACCTGGGCACTGAGAAGGACTCGCACTTGGACTCCAGAGACCAGGGCCTGGGTGGCCGCTTCTGGCCCTACAGGCAGCATCCCGTAAGCCCTGAAGGCCCAGCTCACGCTCCCTTCTGAGAGAGGCCCCTCGTTTGGAAGGCCACAGAGCCCCAGCGCCTGGCATCTGGGAATCGCTGCACGCCTGAGGCATTCTCCAACCAAGAAGAGAAACCCAAAGCTCCTCTTCCAAATCCTAGAGGGGGCTTCAGGGCAGCCAGGCTGGGATCGGGGAAGCACTTGCCACGCCCCAGGGAAGAGCAATGGTTAGGTTTACACTAGTTAATCATGAGACACTAATGCAGTCATCTGATTGAAAGAAACTTGCAAAATCTACCTGATAAATATCTGCCATACCTGGTGTACCCGTTATGAATAGAGCAAAGCTCAGATGGTAAGATGACTCAAGACAGAGACGAACCAACACCTAGTCTTATATAGATAGGAAAAGTGGATACTGCATTCCTAAGTTAAAAAAAAATGAGATTCTAGTCATTTCTTTAATGTATATTGATCATTAAATGAAAGAGATGCTTTTCTTACTAAATGAACAGAAAACATTTCATATATGATTATATTTGCATTGAATTTCAATCAATATAAATCCAGAAGCCAAAGCACAGTGGTACTGAGGTTCCCTCTTTCCTCACTATTTATCAACTTGGTTATACTTCTGTTTCGTTAATTCAGGTTTAGAAACAAATGCAATGGTACCATCAGAGTACCCATGGGATGTGTGATGGTAAGACTCTTTGTTGGTTTAGTAAGTACATATTTATTGTGGTAAATACACATTTATTGAGTAACTACTATGTGAAAAGCTTCACAGGCTGGGAAACTTGGTTTGTTTTGGAAGAATGGTCCCTTGGAAAGGCTACTGCCACTCTGCTGTAAGCCACGTGCTCACAGCACACACTCGCTCCCATCGTGAGGCCTGGGGCTAGTGCTGGCACTGCTACCAAAAGAAATAACATTTTTTATTGCAAACTCACAGGGAAAATCCTATGTTTTGCTCACCTACAGGAACATCAGAGGACAGATAAGCAATGCCGTTTGTTTCTAGGTTGACCTTTTCTATAAAAGAAGATGAAAGAAAACTGACAAACTAAGAGAATTTTTAAAAACACAGAGTACTAAGTCACAAATCATTCATTTTTGGTCCAATAAATGTGCCCATGTCTACCAAAGATGATTATAAGTAAAAGTAGCTTTGAACAGCAGAAAATAAATATGCATACAGTTGATTGATACGTTTGAAACTTCAATGACAGTGGTGGCCATTATGTAAATCCTGATTGTTTGTGATACATCATCTCACTGTTAAAACGGAACAAATTAAACACTGTTTTTAATGTCCCAAAATACCCTCTTCAGACTGAGACAGACCTGCACCTGGACAGCTGTCACTAAACACAAATCTGACCACTCCTTTTCAAGCCCCACATCCACAAACCAGCTCACGCCACCTTCCTGTACTCTACTCATGCAGGCAGACTTAGATCAAGCAATGTGCAGGGTAGCTGATGTGGATGGGACTTCCCGAAGCCCGATTTTCAGCCCCATGACCTATACTGAAAGCCTGTCCAGCTTCCATGGGTTGATTGCACCTGGCAGGCCACCTGGCAGCCCAGAACAAGGCACAAGCAAGTGTCAAACAATGGTACACTTGTTCTTTGGGCTTCTGGGAGGCTCAACCTGCCAACCCCGAATGGCCCCTGCTCACAATGACCTGTGCTTAAGAGCGCCCAGGGATGGGGCTCACAAAGACTGGGCATGTGTCTCCCAAAGCTCAGGCACTGCACGTCACCCCTGCCCTGAGGAGCTTCCAGACCTACTGGCGAGCTCATGCACGTGTGTTCTGAGTGGTTTCTCCTGCATTAGTTTATAGAATTCAGAAGCAAAGCCAATAGCCTCACTGTGCAAAAGCAAACAAGACTGAGTTTCTAAAGTTTATGAGAGAAGTACACAGTTGCATATTTTTACACAACAGGGAGAATTTATGTGTAATATCATTCCTTTGGAAAAAATCAACACTTTATAAATCGTTTTAATTTCCTGCATTTGTACCCACGTATCTGGTGGTGAAACCTTTGGATCCTGCCTTTCTCAGCCCACCAGGAAGGTGAGGGACAGGGCTTGGCCAGAGCCAGGTGAGGGCCGCAGTGGGCTGGGAAATGCCCTGGGCAGACGCCAGGTGGGAGGGAAGTGCCAGGCCCCGGCCACCCAGTCCTCCCGGGCAACACCAGCCAGACACTCCTGATTCCACCTGGGGCTGTGCCGCTGGGCCAGTGCACGGGTGAGAGCAGAGTCCAGCTGCTTGAGGACCCTGAACCTTGGTAAACCGCCCGACTTTCCAGTAAGTTGTTATTAAAAATGCATGTTGACAGAGACATAGAGCCACCAGCAGCCACCTCGCAGTGGTCACCATGCAGCCTTCCCAGGAGGCAGCACAAGAAATCTCAGTTGTCACCAGCTCGGTCTCCTCTGCACCAAGCTCCTTGAAACCCCAAGATCACTCCCTTCCAAAATGAACTGTGGACACCAGCCAGAGGTCAACAGGAACTACAGGAAGAAGCAGGTTTCCTGAAACCAGCCAAAATCACAACCATGGAGGACGCAACCAATGCTTGTCTAGAGTCACCCAACACTTGATCCCAACAGTCAAGCCCCTGTCATCGGTGTCTTTACATCAAACGTTTCCATTTTCATACATAAACCTTTGAAGAATTTAGAAAGTGTAATAAGAAAACACCAACATCTTAAATGCATCTGGTGGCCCGGCCATAAGTGACACTCTTAGGACTCTGTGACCAAGTTACAGGACACAACGCCTGGCACCCCCTCAGGTGAAGCTCCCAGCTGAGACGTGCATTTGCAACGGTCGTCCCACTTTACCTGAGTTTTTATTGGTCTTGTTCTGTCGGCTTTTGACTTGCTCCGTCCAAAGGGTGGGATAACGTGATGCGATATCTAGTGAAGTAAAAGGAGAATTATTCTCATCAAAGCTCCTCAAAGGTTCCAGCAGGCAGCAAAGCAAACAAACAAAGTGGGTGTAACACACAAGTGCACATCACTCCTTCCTAAAGCAATTGTTAACGTGATCATGTGCACAAAACAAAAAGAAATGGTAAGATTACAATTCAAATATTATTTTAGCATATTTCTTCTTTAACCAAAGTATGATTAAAAATAGTTTAAATCCAGACAGTTTCCTGAGAACTGGGTATTAGAAAACAACTCAGTGTATGAAAATGTACTGTGTGGCACAGATGGTTGCTCATCTAACACGCAGGTTTTCCCCAAGTTGAAAGACTCAACACAAAATATAATTTTTGTGAAAAAAATTTCAGGGATGTACCATTTTAGTGAGACTGTGTAAACAAATGCATTTGAATATTTATAGTGAAGGTCAGAGCTCTGCCCTGAGAACACAGAATCTAAAGATCCCTTCGCCCTCACCACCCAGACACCTCTGGCTCTCCTGTTTGGAGGGGTGCCCAGGTGCAGAGAGGGTGTGGCGTTCAGCACCATGTGCATGTCAGCTTATTTGCAAAGCAAGGTGCAACTGTATTCCAATCCCTGATTTATTTGTATTTATTTATATTTAAACCCTGATCCCAACTGATTCCAATTGACCTGAGGATTTGACCTGTCCAAAACAATTTATTAAAGGTGAAGAGGGGAAATCTATCCTCATCATAACAAAAATGTGAAAAGATGAATAGAGAAATGGCATATGTTATTGCACACTTTTGAAATATACACTTTATGTTATCTTAATTGTAAGACCTCAACTCACAGATTTGTATTAAAAATTGAATATCTCAGTGTTCTGCTATGTGAAGTACCATTCAACATTAAAATCCCCAGGAAAACAGCAGGTGCCCTCACAGAGGTTCAGGCCAAATATCTTGTTTGGGCATCTCTATTTAGGATAGAGACTGAAACGAGTTTTGCAATCAAGCAGGTTAACACACCCTTCTTCTCACTTAAGTTGTGTGTGGTAGAAGTACCTGAGTTCACTGTCTTAGGAAATGCTCAGGACAGTAGCAACGACGACCCTCATGCCACACATCAGATCGCTAACCTCCTCATCCCACGTAGGTGCAACTGGTATCCTTTGGCCCCTCCCACCCGGTGGCCACCTTTCCTGTCTCCCCTGTGCTGGAAGACCGTGTTCCTGGCTCATCCCCATCCTCTGTGAGTGGCATTCCTCACAGGGCGACCTGCCTCTGCCTCCCAGCTCTCTGGCCTCCCCGCCACAAACCCAAATCATCTCCCAGGCTCACCTTCCTCATCTCCTTGAGGCTGTGTCTCCAGCGCCGGAGCTGCGGCATCATCTGAATTCAGAACGGAAAAGATTTGCAAGGAGACTACAATCATGAGAGTAAGCTAAGTAAGTGTGCATGCAGGACAGAGCTCAGGACTCGCAAGCAGCCCCACCAACCCCCACAGCCACCCTGAATGGACGCAGGGGCTGCACCCATGCCAACCCCGACCAGACTCTGATGGAGGCCGCAGGGGCCACTGCTTCAAAACTCAGCTCAAGGCTGAAAACCAAGTCCCAGGCAGGACATGCTAGATGTGGCCCTAAGCCAATGGGCCAATGCCCAGCCCCAGGATGGCTGGGGAAGGGGTGAGACACCAGGAGCAGGGGAGGCTAGATCTGGGAAAGGGTTCAAATCAGCAGAGTGGTGAACTCAGGTCACCAGGAGTCGAGGAGGAGACAGGGGGACAGGGAGGGTGGCTAAAACCAGCACTGGGTGCACCCCCCCTTTGGTGTGTGGAAAGGCAGCAGTCAGGGAGGCGTGGGCTGGACCCCTGGCTGCCACCTCTGTGCGCCTTGAGCTCTCCCTTGTGCAGAACGATGCAGAAGCATCACACAGGAGGAGAGGTGGGTGGGGTGAGGGCTAGGAGCAGGGAGCAGGCCGGGCGTGCAGAGGGCACCTGCTCAATGGACCATCTTCACTCAGACATCTGAGAGGAGTCCTCCAGTTCCCGGGGAGGAGCAGGCGTAAGAGCCCAGACACAGCCTGCCTGCTCCAGAGCTCCTGCTCACCCTGCTTGGGACCAGCCCCGCTGGGCAGTGGGGAGGCCCTGGGCCCCCAGGACTCCCCCTTCCCCACCCAGGCTTGCCTGTGCCCCCTGCTAGGTAGGAATTTCAGGATAAAACACAAGATGACGGCAGACCCTGGGCCTATCTGCTAACCCTCCCTGCTGAGGAATAGCAGTGAAGCTTAGCATAAGGTTTTTTAGGAGGAAAGCCAAAAAGAAATTTTTAAAAATCTTTAACATTGAGCTCTCTTGTTTATGGTCCAAATAATGAGAACAACGTGACATCATTTGATAGCAAAGTCTGAGCCGGACACCAATGGTAGCCAGAGCCAGGCCCATGTCTACTAAATGTTTTGCCATGTTCTCAGAGAAGCTGCAGTGAGGGCCGGTCCAGGGCCCTGCTCCAGGTCCTACGTGCACATGGGGAAAACCCTGCAAAGGCTCATCCTCAGTCTTCAGGGCTGGCGACGGCAGTCAGATGCGGAGGTCTAAGCAGGTTGCCACTCTGGGCCCTCCAGCTGTCCCCAGACTCATGGGGTCCCTGCCATCTACGGGCTGCTGGCTGCCCAGGGCGAGGGAGGTGAGGGGTGGGGGTGTGGCTGGGGGGGCAGACCCCAGGCACCCTCAGCCTGTCCTGTGCTGCCCTGAGCAGCTCTGTGTCAGCACAAGCCCTGTGGGGCCAATGCAGCCCGAGGACATGAGACAGTGTTCTCAGCGGCTGGGTTCCCATTTTCCTTCTGTTAAAGGCCTGTCTTCTGGCTGGGGGCTTCAGTTCATTTTCGTGCCCACACACCAATTCCCCGGGAAGACCCCACAGTGGGTTCCATGAGCATCTAGAATCCTAAGGATCAGGAGGAGAGCCGTCCTTGAGCCGGATCCTCCCTCTCCTGCTCCTCCCTCTTCAGCGTTTGATTGACTTCTAGAAGCATGAACATTGCCACTTCCTTTTCCCCAACCTTCAGTCTGACGACCACCAAAATCTCACAGATGCAGATCCAGACCCTCACTCCAGTGCTCAGTGTGCCTGTCCCTTCTTCCCCTCGCAGACCTGTCAAGCCAGGACCCCGTTCTGCCTGTCACTGCGACAGCTGGAAAACGAACGGGCTCTTCCTGCACCGAGAGCTCCATCTCCCAGGGACTGTGTCCGTGTCCACAAAACCACCTCCCTCCCATCCCCATCGAGTGGTCTCTGGGCAGCTGGAGGTGACCAGGTGGCCACCTTTGTCTTACAAAAGCAAACACCTGACAAATGTTCCTCCAGGGAGGGACGGAGCCTGTCAGAGTTTCAATGTATGTTTCAGGAATGGGGTTGGATACACCAGGGTCCGTTTGTCTTTACGTTACTCTTCTTTGCTACAGGTTCATCATAATAACCCAGATCAGGGAAAGAAAGTCAAAGTCTGATTTCATTTAACCTGGAGAAGATGAAACCAGAAAGGGGGCCTGGGATGAGGTCCACCACCCTGGTAGCCACAGAGGCACCTGCAGCCCCTGGAAGCTGACCCTGGCCAAGGAGTGGTTCTTAAGGGAGGAGCTTAATGGCCCTGAGCAGGAGGGGTGAGACCACAGTGACTGGAGCCGGAGCCCAAGCCTGAACTGGCCCCTCCCCAGAGTCCTCCCAGGGACACAGTGCAGCAGTTCTGATACAGTCAGGGCAGGAGCCCCGAGGTGGACCCCAGGGCTGGCCAGGGATGTGCACCATAGCCACAGGGTGACTGCAACCCCAAGACTGACCACATGTCTGTTGAACAAATCAAGAACTGACCACTATTTCAGCTCTATTACCATTACTAATACATGTTTAAGTCTCAACTTGAGAAGTCACTTCAAGGCACCAACTGGATTAGATACGAAATATCATCATGAAAATTGATGTTAAGATAGTTACCTGTTTTTCCTGTGCCTTCCCGTGCAGGTAACTTTTCATTTACAGAACCTAAAAGAGAAAAATAGAAAATGAAATTATTTTTGGTCACCAAATGGTGATCAATAATTTAGGTGAGCAGCTATTTCCTCATTTAACAAATTCACAATGCCTTGGCACTCTATAGGTAAGGGCCACAATTTTCTGGTATGCGGAGGAGCCACAGCCACAAAGAGATGGCCTTCAGGCCACACGGGGTTCTGTTTCTGGGCTGGGAGGTGCATGTAGGGCTGCCAGTCCTGCGTCCAGCCTCTCTCCCCAGAAGGCCACAGTGACCTTCTAAGCAGGGACCATACCTCAGGGTGCTGAGGCAAGGGAGGCAGCAGAGGAGATGGTTTTAAAAATAAGTAACTAAAGATAATAGTTAACTAAGTAATTAACTAAAGACAATTTAAAGCCCTTGCATCCGCCTGCATCAGATTTATAGAGAAGAAAATTGAAGAAGTACCTTTTGAGAGGATCAGAGGACATGGGAATTTGTCACAAGGAGCTTTGACACTTAGGCGATACTGCCAGGTCTGTATCACAAAGGCGAGGAGAGGAGAGGACAGTGTGGATCTTCTTTTACAAGGGATCAAAACTGCTGTAAGTGCTTCCTGTCACTCATCATTACTAAACCTACTCAAAGCATTTTTTTAAAATTCCGTTCAGATTAACTTAGAACTACCATCCTCCTGTGCTGGGTGATCTCCTTAGCAAAAACATCTCGGAACTTGAAACTGTTCTTTTTTCATTTTGAATGTGCTACTGAAATGCAGACCAGCGTCTGCACCGAAGAGGGCACTAGGACGTTGTTGGGTGGGGCAACAGGTGCCAGGAAGTGCACAAGCCGCCCTCCTGGCTGAGGGGACGGCGGGGACGGCAGCTCAGCTCCCGGGTGCCGGGTCACTGTGGGAGCTCCACTCCACAGGACCAGTGGGGACGCAGCCAGCCCAGCGCCTCCTCTCTGGAGGGCCTGAATCAGCCAGCACAGCCTGGGGAGGTGGACAGCTGTCTGTGAGCTCTGTCTGTGAGACTCAGAGCTGCCAGTGTGTGGACAGGCACAGGACCCCTGGTCTGGCTGGTGGTCACCACTTTTAGGCACTGGCTGAGGACCCTTCCCGCCAGCTGCCTGGCTGCTTGGTTAACTGGGGCAGCACTTCCAGGCTCTGAGCACCAGGCTTCCTCTTGGGAAGGGACTGCCCCTGTGGGCCTCCTGGCCTGCAGACAGCTTTGCTGGCCCCTCCGTGTGCCACTTCTTCACAGAGCCAGATTTGAAGAGCTTGCTTCTTACTTGTCAGCTTATGTTCATCACATGCTGCTGCAGTGACTCAAAAGCAATTTCCTTCCTTTGACTGGAAATGACAAAATTTCAGTAATATTTCTGAACATTAGTGCGTGGGTTTTGACTTTGACTGAAATATAAACATGCCCAATAAGAAGTACCCACCCCCATGAGAGTGTTCCTCGACTGAATTAAGAATGTTTCTTGTGATCTGCAGACAGGAGGGTATGAACTGAAGTCTGACCAGAGGCGGTCAGGCAGCCTTCTCCACCTCCCACAGTGTTGCAGCTGGCCAGCAGGCCCCACGTTCAGCCCGCACTTACTTCAACAAATCCATGCAAAAACAGTCCTATCTCCTGTTCATGTGCAAGAAAGAACTTCCCAGCAGAATCGAGCATCCTTCCTGGACCTCACGCCCTGGGTCCACACTGCTACTCAGGACTTGGATGTGGGTCCAACGGTGCATCTCCTCAGGGTCCCGGTGCCTCGGGACAGGACTGTGGCCTTCCTGCGCAGCCTGCCCTGCAGCGTCCTGGCTGCAGGGACGTGGACACCGCTCTCTGCACACAGCACAGCTATGGAAACTAGCCTGAGTCCAGAGCCAAAAGGACAAGGCCCTTCCCCTCTGCCCTTCCTGGAGGCAGGGTCTGCTGAACTCCCAGGGGCGCCAACTGGCGGGGTTCCAGCAGAGGGCCAGGACAGGAGTGATGAGCATGACCCTCGGCGGTCGGCACGCGTTCTGAGACGCTGGGCCAGTGGGCAGCTTCCAGGCCGACCTCCGTTCACAGGTGGGAAGACCCCACTCAGCCACGCCCTCAGACCAGCCAGGCCACAGCTGGAGCTCCCCCATTTCTGAGCTTTTGTGCCACTTCATGCACAGGAAGGGGTGGCTCTTCAGCACTCCGGGTATGAGTTTCCCGTGAAAGACTCCACGAAGCACACGCGAGGAGGCCTCCAAGCCCTGAGCAGGGGCAATGAGCTCTCCAGGCCTGTGGTTCTGAAGGCTCGGTTCAAACCCAGCAGTGACGAGCGCTTGCCAGACGGCCCAGCTGAGTGGCCACAGGCCGCTGAGAGTCAGAGGCCTAAGACGGCTCCTTCACTCAGCACTAGATGCACTTCAACAACAAGCAAGGAGACCAAGGCGGTGACAGGGGAAGTGGGGGTCCCGGGGGCCAACCAGGACAGGGAGGCCTCTTTCAGCTGGGGAAGGGACGGCTCCCCAGGGCTGAGCCAGCCGGAGAGCTGCCCTGCTCCACTCACACTCCTTGGACACATGGACACGTTAGCCTTTGCTTTGGGGCTGAGAGCTCAGAGGGATGGTGAGGGACACGTTCTTCCCAACAGAGAGGCATTTCTGCTCCTGGCTCTTCTCAGTGGTGCTGGCTGCTCCTGCCTTCTCTTTCTCTAACCAGGACAGCAGGAAAGTGACCTGAAAGCTTGTGTTGAGGCCAGACAGCCTGTGGGCAGAGAGGGAGCATGTTCAGCACAGCACACGCCACCGCTCCTGGCCCGGGGCCTAGGGGCCCCTTCAGCTCTCCCTGCCTCCGTGTCCTCGTCTGTAAAACCAAGTTGGAGGGAAACCAGCGCACAATGTTGAACGTCTGCTTAGGTCATAGAGCCACACAAAGTCCAGCTGCCCTCTGGGGTGGAGGACCCGTGCCATCTCCGCTCGACCAAGCCATGGAAAGCAGGCACCACAGCAGGGCCACAGTGGCCGCATCACCCCAGCCCCTCTGCCATGGTCTCTCACCCACGGTCCCACATGCATCCCTTGTGTGCAAGGAATTCACCACTGGACAGTCAGTCAGGTTTGGGGAGATGGCATCAAATGATAATGTCCAGTGACAGTCCAGCATGCCCAGCTCATGCCTAGGTAGTTCTTAGGGCACACTGGTCTCTGTCATAAGCAGTCTGCATGCCTTGGGTCTCTCAGTGCAGAGACAGCCTGTCCATGCCACTCCACAGAGGAGGGACTGTGGCCCAGGAGGGCACCTGGATAGTGAGCAGCAGAGCTGGCCCAGGAGGTCTGCTGCCCTCGGGAGACGACATGGTCTGGAGTCAGAGGGGCCCCTCTGCAGAAGATAGGTGGTGAGCGGGCACCAGAGAAGCAGGCTAGAGAGGACGGTGGGAAGGAGACCACAGGGGCTTGCGGCGCCCAGGGCTGTCCGAGGCCATAGAGGGTGCAGGCCCTGCCTCTGCATCATCTGCTGACACCGCAGACACAACTCCCAACAGGGCCACAGCCCAGAGCAGAAACCAACGGGGGCCCATGAAGAGCCTGGCCCTCGGGCCTGCCCTGGCCCTTGATGCACTGCTGGACTTTAGCCAGCTGGCTGGCCCCCAGGTGTGGACCCGCAGGGGTGCACAGGAGAGCCCGAGAGGACTGCGCAAGAAACACAGAGGACAGAACTGCCCAGCACAGCACTGGGCAGAGTCACAAGAGCCAGTGGGCCACAGAGCCCTCGTCAAAGGACCCGAGAAGCCAGCGGGAGCCATTGGGCTTTGATTGTCTCATGAAAAAAGCAGCAAACTGTCTACCCCATTCACCCCCCAGGTGCCTGGAGGAGAGGCCCAGCCACATTCGCCTCGAAGCAGTTTGGAAGCTGGACCAGCCTGGCTTGTCCCCCAGCCTGACAGCAGGCCTCCTGGCCCTCCTCACTGTGGGGCACACATGCCCGTCAGGCAGCTCCTCTCCTCTCCCCTGACCAGCCTGGTCTGGCAGGAGATGGCTCCTGGGGACGGCTGCTCTGCACTCAGCACTGACGCCTCGTCCGAGGCAGACATTGGTACCGGGGGACGGGTGGATCAAGTGGGGTCAGCCCCACCCGATCACACGCCTCTTGCGCATCAGGAAGGATATTCTAGAACTAAGTCAGATCCCAGCAGATGGAAGAGGTTGGTGCACGTCACCTCCATGATCTCAGGCCCTGGTGCCCCGACTTAGGGATCCATGCCAGGGGAGGAAGGAGAGGAAGCCTGGTCAGTTTCCAGTGTTGAAATGGACATAAGGGGCCATAGGAAAGGTCCGTGGTTCACACAGACTCCCTGGCCCTGACCAGGCTGGGAAGCACAAACTTCACAGGGTCAGACACCCCAGCCACGTGGGCCTGAGACAAAGGGGAGGTTTCTGAGTTCACCTGAGTTTCACTGTGTCACCTGAGACACGACAAGGATGCACTCTCGGCCTGTGACAGTGGGTAGGCAGGACCCCTGTGCCTGGCTGGGTCCCCCAGGGCGCTGGGGCCGTGTGGCTGGTAGGCATCGTGGAGCTGACACAGAGCCACCCTCATTCACTCTGAGAGATCCTTCCACGCATGCTGAAGCATGGCAGCTGGCCACAGCAGGACCCAGAGCTCTTCAAGACCCACACAGTTCCGTGGGACAGAGCCAGGACAACGCCAGGACAGCAGCCCGGGTTCTCAGAGAAGCTTGGTCAGTACCTGCAAAGACTTAAGAAGACACTCTGCCTCCTGGACGGGGCAGCAAAGGACAGAAGGCTCACACGACAACCGGCAGCACTTGGCAAGCTTCTGTGGCCCAAGCCTCTGGGCTCGCCAGCGGCCTCTGCAGGGGTCAGAGCCAAGCCCGTGAGGGAGGCCAGGGGCCCACGCGCCTGCCACTCCTCCCCACTCCTGTCCTCGACATCTCCTCCATGGGGCAGGAGGCCCCCAGGGTCAGGGCAGACTCCACACATGCAGACCCAGAAGGTGCCTCCTCCCTGTTCCCAAACTCAGGGAAGTTGTACCAG